TAGTCATCACCACCCACCGCCAACTCTTGGGCTACTCTTTTACCAACGAATAGTGAGATTGACCGTCACATTATAACGCCCCCACGGCTGAAAGGGCGAGCATGTTTAGTGTGACGGGGATTCGAACCCACGACCCGCAGATTGCGAGTCGAGTACCCTAACCACCTGGTCATGCCGGGCCTAATTTTCTTAACTATGATACGATGGTACTATTGGTAGGGAAGGATTAATCAAAAGGTAGAGCCCACGGTGCTAATGAGCCCAATTGAACAGGAAGTGGCTTACTTGTTAGCATGCCGAACTGTGATTCAAAGGTTCATGATTCATGTTGCTTCAAAAATACACTCCGAATTTTGGGGCCGCGGGTGCTCTATAAGAGTGACAGTCAAATCCCACTATTTATTTAGAGTAGTCCAAGAGTTGGCGGTAGTTGCTACTTTATTATTTAGCAGTTCCAGTCTTCGAGTATCTTTACGCGAAAATTCTGAAACAAACAAACAAACAAGGGGCCCAGAACAGCTATATTTTACCGGAAACCCGGATTCAGATTCGTGACAGAACTAGAAGGGCAAGGCCATATGGATACAGAATGACCATAAGAAAAGTAATTATAAAGATAAGGACGAGTCTCTGGCAATTATTGCTATTGAAAACAGGTAGGAAACTATTTTTAATAACTTTATCATATAATTGTTTAAGTTGTAAACTACAGTCTTTTAAAAGGTTTAGATTTGGTAAAAGGTAGCCCTGATGGATATCATTTTAATGAAAAACAAAATGAAGGCTTGTATAGAAAGGGAAGAGGGAGGGAATAAAACTTGCTTGTGAGTCCACAACTGTCTTAATTCGACCCTGACTATTGGACTACAAAGTTTATCTAACAGGCTTGTTGAACGTAGAGAATTTTATTAACTCTGGTTGCGAACTATCCTTCGTTTTATTTTTTATGTCTTCACTATTTATTAACCTGTATGGTATTATTTAAATTACTATTAAATGTATTAATTCACGCGTGACTTGATTAACATAGAAATTTACGGAAGGAACTACTTTCCGCCATAATTATCAGCAGCTTTAATGTTGAAGATAAGACAAATCCAAATATAATATATTACCAGAAATAGAATGTTCATTACCTATTTATAGAAAACCAAATGTAATATATGGCCAGAAACAGAATATTCAGTATATCTAACTGTAGAAAGCCAAATGTAATCTACTGTCAGAAAATAGAATGTTTGTTCTCTCTCTAGTGATTTGTGAATGTCTTACTTAGGTTTTAACAGAATTTTCGTCTTTATCTTTTTTCTGATGTTCCAAGATATGTGTTGGAATTCCCCACTGTTGCGGTAATTAGTCCTAAAGAGTAGTTATATAAAAAGTGTTTTCGTTGAAATAATACCTTGTTGTTGTTGTTTGAAGTTAACCACAAAGCTACACAATGAGCTATCTGTGCTCTGCCCACCACGGGTATCGAAACCCTGTTTCTAGCGTTGTAAGTCCGCAGACATACCGCTGACCCAATGGGGGGCCACGTTGAAATAACATATGAAAAAGAGTGTATACAAAATGATGCCTGTAACACGAGGAAGTCAGATAAATATCATCAGGCTAGTTAACTACACTATAGTTTCTAAACTTCAGGAAAAAAATACTAGCACCAAAATCAGCTGAAAATATACTTCGTCACAAAATACTGTGATATTTGTAAAAGGAAGCTTTAAAATAAGACTAAAAAACACTAGTCTTAGAACAGTTCCTGCTTTACCACACCCTCTGTTTGTTTGTTGTTGAATTTCGCGCATAGCTACTCGAGGGCTAGCTGTCCCTAATTTAATAGAGATAGACTAGAGGAAAGGCAGTTAGTCAACATCATCCACCGCCCATCATATTATAACGCCTCCATAGCTGAAAGCATCGGCGGTGTGGGGTATTCAAACCCGCAGACTGCGAGTCGAACGCCCTAACCACTAGGTCATGACAGGCCATACTGACCTATTTCTTGGTTTTTATTGGATTAAATCAAATTGATATATGTTACACTTCACCGCCTTAATCTAGTTCACACTGTAACTATTGCTGTTCAAGTAACAGATGATATAAATAGGAATCTTGGCCACTACTATATCTGTTGTATCCCAGCTGATCTAATGGGCCCTGGTATTTAGCGAAAGGCCCCCTCGGCATTGGATATAGCAGATACATTGTGGTTGTCATATTATTACATTATTCAGGGTGTTTTAAACTTAAAGATTTATTCGATGTAAAACACTTGATATGCTATATAATACACAGTTTTCACTGAGGGCGTAAGCACTGTTTGAAAATAACGATATTTATCTGTTAGTTTGTTTCAAACGTATAAGAACATCGGGTAAACTTAAGTAACATGCAACTTACGCATGTTTACAGAACTTTAAATCGTTATACATGACGTAGACACTCACCTGTTCTACCCCCAATTGTTTCGTATTTCCTTACAAATTTTCCACGCATGTTTTCTTGATTTTTGATATTACAATCATCATTTTCAAAGTCACAGACATAGTCTGGAACCTCTGGTGGAGGAGGACGGACTTCACCTGTAGTTTTGGTAGGATTAGTTTCATCGAAAGGTGGATTAATCTCGAATTATTACACATGTAGTACTTCGCGATTAAGATCCAGAATAAAAGAAAAACATCTATCAACAAAAGTTACGTATCGAGACGTTTAAGATAAAATCCTTAATTCATCAGGCTAAATCATCTGCAAATAGTTAGTTCGAAAAAGTTAAGACGTAAAAAAAAGTACGCATGTGAGTTAATACGGGCGCAAAGTACGAAAATTACAATAAGCCTATATTGGCGACGCATATTTTTTTTACCATATTACTTTTAATACATAAATAAAATCAACAGAAAGAAAAAAAATCATCAAGACGCTTCATTGTTTTCTTTATATTTGAAACAATTTTGAACGGTGTATGATGTTAGTTTATGTCGAATTTTTCCTATTTATCATTTATGGTGAATGAAAGATAACGTAAAAAGTAAATAAACTTGATAATATCTACAATTAATATAAGAAATCACCTGCCAAAGCACAGACTGGTCATCCAGGAAAGACTCCTCTCACAGAAAATGATTTTATCAAGTTGCACACATTCCACCCCATCAGTGCAGAATTGAACTACAAGTAGCCTTCAGGAAATGATTTAATCAAGTTGCACACATTCCACCCCATCAGTGCAGAATTGAACTACAAGTAGCCTTCAGAAAATGATTTTATCGAGTTGCACGCATTCCACCCCATCAGTGCAGAACTGAGCTACAAGTAGCCTTCAAGAAATGATTTTATCAAGTTGCACACATTACATCCCATCAGTGCAAAATTGAACTACAAGTAGCCTTCAGAAAATATTTTTATCAAATCGCACACATTCCACCCCATCAGTGCAGAATTGAACTACAAGTAGACTTCAAGAAATGATTTTATCAAGTTGCACACATTACATCCCATCAGTGCAGAATTGAACTACAAGTAGCCTTTAGAAAATGATTTTATCAAGTTGCACGCATTCCACCCCATCAGTGAAGAATTGAACTACAAGTAGCCTTTTTCTTTGTTTTACAGTAAACTATTTAAAATTCAGTGTCATATTTTTTGTTTCATTTTCTGAAGAGGAATTTTTTACCCAAGGACTACTGATACCACAAGAACCAGTGCTGGGTTATTGGAAAATGATTGCAGAATTAGGCAAAAGATTTACAGAAACAAAATTTTATGTTGATAATAACTACAATGAACATAAGAAATCACCTACCAAAGCACTCATAAAGTCTGTTTACTCTCCTTACGTCGCTGGCACTAAACCCAGGTTTCTTCCACACTAGTCCAATAACTACACCCGGTTTCTTGGGTTTCACGGTTTGTGAAACACCATCTTTTGAAAAGGCTGTCTCTCCATACAACATTACAGACTTATAATCAAACTCTTCGTTCATATAGTTGTTCTCCCACGGTTGAAGCTTGTCAAAGGCATATTCCAACCCTAATTTCAAAGTGATTTGAATAATTTCATATGTTAATAACAGTAACCCAAGATTTGACAACATAAAGAAACAGAGAAGATAGACAAAGCTTTTTTTTTTTTAATACAAACCCCTCCCACTCTTCAGACGGTTTGTAAAGTTATAACAAACTATAAAGCTTGTGATATGTAAAATATTCTATATATATATATATTGCATTTATGGCAAAACCACTAAGGCTATCTACCGCCGTCCCTAATTTTGAACAACGGACCAGAGAAAAGGCAGACAGTCGGCGGTACCCTACCGCTCACTATCATCACTAAGAGATTACCGTCACTCTTATAACGCACCTACGGCTTAAAGTGCAAGGAATATATTGTACTATTACATGGATTCGGAGAAGGATCGCCCGTTCTGAAATTCAGGGCCTACCCGCAATCAAAATGTTTAACAAAGATTCTCTGAAGAAAATCTCGTATACTGATGTAGAAATTTCTCAGTACTTTCAACAATGAGGTGTTGAATTATTTGTCATTCCTAGCCACAGTTACACCCACTGTGTTTATAAGAAATCTGATACTCGTAGTATATCAAATATCTTAAACACACAGTGTCATGTCAGTTATTAAAAGCTATAATAATCCAATCATTCACACTTTCATAGTGAAGTGGCTCGCATGTTAAGTATGATTACCACAAAACAAAATCGCGCTTCGCAATTTGGTGCCATTAATTTGTACTAAATGTGACGGTCTGACTTAAAGAGTTGTCCGTGACTGGTGTTGACTATCTGCCTTTTTTTCTAGTCTATTACTTCAAAATTAGGCATGGCAATCTCAGGTAAGTCTTGAGCAGGTTTGGGGGAAAATCGACAAACAAACGAGCAATAAAGCAAAAAATATACTAAATTACTTGAAGAGTTAAATACATCAATGATATAAAAGTTATTATGTCAAGATATGGTTTCACGTATAATTTATATTACAAGAACTGTTATAATACACGACTTAGTTAAACCAATTTAATCACTGATAAATATGAGGATGGCAGTTTCTGTACCAGTTTCATTCAAACAGATGAAGAATCATTTCCATTCCTTATTTTTAGTAAATTTTTTTTGTAGATATTTTGGGTATTGTATAAATATTTTTTAATAAGCCAATATGAAGCTTTATCGTTTTCTAAAAGTGAGTGTTTTCACTATAATTTTGTTGGTCGCCAGACAAGACTTTCACACCTAACCTGGTATAATATTGTCCCAGAATATTTCAATGTATTCATCCCTGTCAGCTCTGTTTTGCTCATGCCAGAACCCCACAGCATGCCCCAGTTCGTGGACCACCAAACCTTTCCAGTGACAGCCTGTTCCTAAGGACAACTGCTGCATTCCTCCCTGTCGGCCAACCATGGACCAACATCTATAAAAAAACGCAGGTGAAGTTTAGAACAAAAACACAAAGACGAAAATATACTTTCAACAAGATCAACAGCAGTAGTAAACACTCCCAATTAAAAATACGTCAATACATTTGGAATTGATATATTTTGGAAAAACACATGTTCAATTATAACCATAAATTCAGGGACTAGTAGAACTAAATCCTTCGAGTATACGAACATATGTTTATGTATAATAGTAAAAGTAGCAACTTTGTGTTTACTTTGTTTTTCTTGAGTTACTTCTGTTCGTGTTTACTTTGTTTTTCTTGAGTTACTTCTGTTCGGGTTTACTTTGTTTTCTTGAGTTACTTCTGTTCGTGTATACTTTGTTTTTCTTGAGTTACTTCTGTTCGTGTTTACTTTGTTTTTCTTGAGTTACTTCTGTTCGTGTTTACTTTGTTTTTCTTGAGTTACATCTGTTCGTGTTTACTTTGTTTTTCTTGAGTTACTTCTGTTCGTGTTTACTTTGTTTTTCTTGAGTTACATCTGTTCGTGTTTACTTTGTTTCTTGAGTTACTTCTGTTAGTGTTTACTTTGTTTCTTGAGTTACTTCTGTTCGTTTTTACTTTGTTTTTCTTGAGTTACTTCTGTTAGTGTTTACTTTGTTTTTCTTGAGTTACTTCTGTTAGTGTTTACTTTGTTTTTCTTGAGTTACTTCGGTTTTTAATGTACATTCTTCAAAATTTCATTGAAAACATTTATTCAATTACCATACAAAAGTAAAGCATTTCAATATTTGATTACTGTACAAAAGCCAAGCATTCTTAGATTTACTCAGACATTTCACGGATAATTTTTTGCTAGAAAAAACTTTCCAATTCTGTTATAGCTTATGTTAGTCGAACGCTGGGTAATATTTGGATCACTTAGATGGCACTGTTCAATGTACGCCAGTAGTTCTGATAGTAATACAGAAATCCTATACCCAACATGTTTCATTTGTTCGCCAGCATACCTTCATTCCACCTTCTTATAAAAGAAGGTGGATGTTAAGGAAAATTATCGTATCAGGAAGCAACTTACCCATTTAACCATTCAATCCTGACAAAATCTTTGGATTCTCTGGTTCTTTCTACAAACCGAATGCAAGTCTTCTTATGGTACTCTTCCATTCCGTCAAGGATGTAGTCACGGATGCTATCTAAAAGGTAGTTGTTGTTTTTTTCATTCATATATACTTTTACCGAATTCCTTTAAATTACCTTTTGAAGCAACTGAGAACTGAGTAAGAAAATATACTACCATCTTGTATAAAACATACAAAACATGAAGAATAGAAAACGTTTATAATAAAATAATAAATATCTTCTATGCCTAATTGATAATTTCACTTGAAATATTAGTGGCATAATACATTCGCGATTCACGAACTTCAGAGAATTTCTAAACTTCATCTGACTCATGTTGATACTATTTCTTTCTTAATCACAACTAAGATTTTATTGAAATCGCATATAAGTGTTTCTCAAACTGGGGACTGAGAGGGTATTCCAGTGATTCAAGTGACGCCCAAAATTTAATAAAAACATTTTATAGAATAAAAAAAATATTTTTCGTGAAATTTAATTTATATCAATTAAAACACTTAGTTTTGGAATATAGCTTTTCATATACATAGAATATTTTTCTAAAAAAAAGATAGATAGATATGGGGGGGGGTCCGCGAAAAAAAAGGGGTTTTCAGGTTACTAAAGTTCGAGAACCGCTGTCGTAAACCATAGGTTTCATATATAATGATTCTTCTTTTACAGTGTCTATATATATTCCGAAACAATTGAACAGTTAAATATAAAGAGCTCTGCAAGAGAGAAAATGTGATTAATGTTTACGTCAAGGAACTTTCATGAAGATGAAGGTCTTTTGGATGAAACATTGAAAACATTTTTGCTCTCGAACATTTATTTAACTCTTGTTTTTATATAATCGTGTAACAAGACGTTATGTTTCGTTTGATTACTGTGTTACGTGTATATTAAAAGAGCTAGAACTTATCAGGCCCTAATTAGATATTGGATAAACAACGAATTAAGTTCACGGCTTATTTTTATAAAAATAAAAAGTAACTAAAAAAAAAGTGACATAGTGACTCAAGCATCATCACTCACCTACTGAGGGTGCTAACTCATAATATACAATCCCTCCGGGCCATAGTAAAGTATGATCGACGATGGCATTACGATCCTGTTATGAGATGAATAAATATATGATATACTAATAAAATGTGCTTTCATAACCATACCCAAGAAATGTTAAACAATGAATTTTTATTCAAATTTATAACCTTCAGTATCTCAATCCATGAAACCATTACATATCATCACTAATAACATAATTTCTAACTATCGAAACATACAACCAACACAACTTGATAAATAATTTCAAACTATCGAAACATACAACCAACACAATTTGATAAATGTAGTGCATTCAATTCAAACACTACAATAAGATAAGCTTCAAATTCACCATCAGCACAAAGGAGGGATGTCCTAACCTCAGATCCAATCATTGAAACAGTAATAAAATATCAATCTATTCAACATACCAACCTGATAGCACAATGTCCATCTTTTCGTTAACACGATCAGATTATCTCTAATCTTGTGAAATTGTATATAATCCTAATATTCATGCTATAAGAAGCTTATCTTCTGCAGTCCTGCAAAACCGAAACTTTCAGTAAAGAGTCTGTACTCATATCAAGACACATGGTAGTGTGTCGTGCGGCCAAAACAACCTGCAGGACACAATGTGTGTTATTAACAGGAGTGATAGTTTAGTAAGTTTCACTTTTTGTAGCTCAAACTGTGGTAATCCAAGCTATCACATATTTCCAGTGGATATACTCTACTGTACTCTTACTTCACATACCAAATTTCAAGGCAATTCATTAAGAAATACACGAGATATAAAATCTCCCAGTTGAAACTTTATTTGATAGAAAAACATACTTAACTTTTATGGATTAGTTTTAAAATTTGGTATACTGATAGATCTTTACAGCCTACAATTAAGAGTCTCATTTGATGTAAATATAAACCGCATGTGCAAAGTTATTCAACAAAAACCGCTCAATTTTCACCAATTTTTTTTGCGCACGCCTACCTAAAAAGTCAAGTCAGCTATCGGTCTAACATTTTTACTACAGCTTTATCTACAAGTAAAAGTGGACTGTTTAGTTTTTGTCATTCGGATTAAAGACAGCTGATTCAGAGCAGCAAAATTACACGGTGAAAGCACGTGCAGGTGCACCAGTATTGGTTAGGCCAAACAAACTAGATTAGCAGTTTCTAGCTCAAGTTTTGAAAATAATCATACGTGTGGACGGTTATTATTAATTTATCTTTGCCAGCTTTTAAGCACAAGTTTTCTAAATCGTATGAAATTCTCCTAATTAAAGAGTGTTTAGCGTTACGTGATATTAGCTTGAGCAATTACTGTAAATAATGATGCTTGATACGGCTGTACCGAGTGCATGCAGGTGATGATAAGTACTGTTAATCCAGTTTTCATGACGTTACTATAAAGGAAGCTGTTAACACTGTTTTCGAGAATAGAAACTACCACCATATATTTTAAAGAATCTGGTTGATTCTGTAAAGTATATATCTGTTCCGAACAATAAGGCTGCGATCTTAAAGCTAATGTTGGTTACTATCGAGTGTCACTTTCTTACTTGCTGTGGTTTGTTGGTGTGTATTGATTACATACACGTGTCACAGATTTCTTTTCAATTTCACCAAAGGTAAAATTGAAAGGAGAATCTGTGACGTAGAGGCCTAGCGTGAAATTGAAAATGATCTGTGATATATGTATGTAATCATTAAATACTTGGTCCGATATATAATGTGAAATAATGATTTAGGCACGAGCTCTAACATTATTCAAATACCTAATATTTGAGGTTACTTTATTGGTGATTGAAAAGGACTGCAAAACTGCATTAGAAAGGCATGATATCTAATCAAAAACACCTTAGGTGTGAAAAAAAGGTGCGACCAAAAAAGGATTTAGCGTACGACTTAAAGGAATGAAATTCAAATTGGTGGCCAAACTGGTAGCTACACTTATAGCATTGATAAAAATTTTACAGCAAATATTCATTCATTAGTTAACTAGGCCGTGTTATTTGTTTACCCACCATCATGCTCCAAGTTCAACAAATAACTCAGCCTGGCTAACTAAGGAATAAACACTTGCTGTAAAATTCTTATCAATGCTATAAGTGTAGCTACCAGTTTTGCCACCAGTTTTGATTTCATTCCTTTAAGTCGCACGCCCAATTCTTTTTTTTTTTTTTGGACGGGCATTTTCTTCACACTTAAGGTGTTTTTTGATTAGATCATAAACTATAAGATAATAAGATAAAGGTTTCCTCTCATGTTCAAAAGCATTGTATAGTAAGATAGATGGTCGGACAAAGAGACAGACACTTATCAGTGTATAGCTAGAGAGGTGGACAGGCAGAGAAACAAGTAAACAGTCTGATATAATACTTAACAGACAGACAAACGGATATGTAGAAAATTGAGAGGGTGTATAATACTTATTTTATTCTTTTTTTTTAATCTGTTACAGACTAACCGATTTTATTCAAAACTTAAACTTCGAAACACATTTTAACGGCCTATTTTTTATGTTGTTAATATGGTCTAAAGGGTTGAATACTATCCCTAAACCTTAATCGACGATTTATAAACTAAAATGTTTTGTTTCTTAAATTCTGTACTTTCTACATGTCCCCGAAACCATGCTGAACCATTTAAGTCTAATAGCTGAAAAATATAGATCAGGCCGTTTAGTTTTATATTATTTTAATAATCACTCAAAATATTAACTTGTTCCACACGATCGCATGTTTATTAAACGACCAAAATCGTATAATCTTAAGAAACGTTAGTACTAGAGGGTTGAAAGTTATATTAAATTGTTGAGAATATGTTAATCATGAAAGAAAGCATTTCGATATCACTTACAGCATAGGGATTCACACCTGCTATGTCACCTTCGAATAGATCTAAAAGATAAATAAACATATTTTACCTTACAGCTGTCAGCGTTATGTTTACTTGGATATTTTCATAGTTACATAAAAAAGTAGCATGGTAAGATAAGCCATAAAATTATTGTCAGGTCAAAGATGAATAAGTAAATTAACTTTAATTGTTACATAGTTTTATGTTACATAGTTACATAAAAAGTAGCATGGTAAGATAAGCCATAAAATTATTGTCAGGTCAAAGATGAATAAGTAAATTAACTTTAATTGTTACATAGTTTTATGTTACATAGTTACATAAAAAGTAGCATGGTAAGATAAGCCATAAAATTATTGTCAGGTCAAAGATGAATAAGTAAATTAACTTTAATTGTTACATAGTTTTATGTTACATAGTTACATAAAAAGTAGCATGGTAAGATAAGCCATAAAATTATTGTCAGGTCAAAGATGAATAAGTAAATTAACTTTAATTGTTGTTAAATGAAAACAAATGAAATTAACATTAAGAATATATATGTGTGTGTGTGTGTGAGCATATTAACTTGTCAGTATTTTATAACATGTCAAGCTTAACATATTCTCCATACAAAACTGTCATGGGCTATTAAGATAAAAAAGAAGAGCGAAAACGTAATTGTGTTCTACCCACCAAGGGTATCGAAACCCGATATTTAGAGCCGTAAGCCTACAGATATTCCACTGAGCTACAGGGCAGCTTCCATTTGTGAGAACGCTGAAGTTAACAACTACACGAACGTCAAAGAAACACAAAGAGAAATAATATCACTGAGTATGACGACTAAGCAGCGCTAAAAATCAAAGAATCAATTAAAATTACAAACTAGTACTTATCTCATTTCTATACGAAATTCAATAAAAATGTCTAAGCGAGTCAAATACGATAACTGTTATATCTGTAGACATCTGAACTAATTCTCAAACGTCCGAGTCCAAAAAGAAAAAAGAAAGAAGATATTTCAATATGATGCTGGTGCACGGCTTACTTAAGCTGAGATCATTGGACCAGAAGTAAGTTTACCGACTAAAATCTGGGGGTTAAAAACCTCGTGGTGGACAGTTTGTTTATTTGAATTTCGCGCAAAGCTATGTGAGGGCTATCTGCGCTAGCCGTCCCTAATTTAGCAGTTTAAGACTAGAGGGAAGGCAGCTAGTCATCACCACCCACCGCCAACTCTTGGGCTACTCTTTTAGTAGGATTGACCGTCACATTATAACGCCTCCACGGGCGTTATAAGAAAAGAAAATGCGCAACATCATGACACCAGCTGTATCTCCACAAATTTCATTCAGAATAAAATATAATTGAAATGTTGAGATTTTTAACTTTCTCTTGATTTAATTTTAATAACACTTCTTTTTGATGAAATAATTTAAAAAAAATCGGAACTTTAGCCCCAATTGTCGATATTTAGCCTCCTGTTGGAATTTATATTTATATTGAACAAATAAATACAATTTTCGCCCGTGTACAGACAACTAGTCAATAGACGATGCAAAGAGGTAAAATACGTGGATTTACAACAGTTTTCAAGCATACGTCGTTAAAAGTTTCGTTAAAAAATTATCTTGCTGTTAAAAGTGTTTGTGTGAAGAGGACACCGTTTAAAAAGTGGATGTGAGATGGCCTGTTGCCCCCTTTCTCCCGTTTCCGGCGATTATGCTCAGAATAATAATAAATGGGGTCAACTATAAGAATGTTGGCAACACGCCATAAAGAACGCAGGCATCACATACCAGAACTCCATTCCAACATCTTGAAACATCCCTGAAGTTGTGATACAACTACAAAAGCATACAGTTTAAAAAAAAATTATCCAGTGGTGCACAGAATACATTTTTAATAGTAAAAAACAGAAAGAGACCATAAGTTGAAGCCTACCTCGAACGCTAATGTATCCCCAATCTGCTTACTATGTATTTATGATTATGATAGCTATAGAGTGATAAGTTATAAGTTTCGATAACACCATTCTCTCTTTAACTATTAAAATTACATTTACCACTAAATTTTGTTTTAGATGTTTCACTAGCATTCCATAATAGGAGTATATAATATGTTTAAAACATAATAACATTAATTTCACACCTCTTAGACAAGAGTATTATAATTGCAATCTGGATTTTAAACGTATTGTTGTAATTTGTTTAATTGCTAGAATTCTCAAAAGATGGCGTTTACCTTCATGGTACAGTGGGCTATCTCCAAGGCTCCTCAGTGGTTCTAAGGAAAGAAAAAAGCTAATTATTTCAAGATAAATTCTAGATGTTGGTGAATATAAAACTGTAGTTTTAAGGCAGTTGTCGCTTTGATATAACTTCGTTAAAATAATATCGATATATTATTTGCTGTCCTCACATAAATCTTTAAAATTAGACATACGAAAAAGCAAACTGCTTGATAAAAGTACATTTGTTCGCCAGTATAATTTTTTTTTCATTTAAAGCTTAGATTATCATAAATGAAAGAATACTAAGCAAGTCGAAATTATTGAATTCACCCACTTTTAAAATACCTTACCTGTATTATACTTACTGTTTATTGGAGAGGCCGTAGCCCCAGTGATGATCAGCAGTGTCAAAAACCTAAGCATATTCATAAGTCGTATTGTTAGCTGAAAGTTTTAATTTATATTAGGTGTTGAACAGTGTGCAAACCTCTTTATCTTATGGTTCTGTCTTCCATATGTCTAGTCCAGTGGGAAAAGCTTTATCATCATGTAGCAGGAATCCCTATCAACACTTGTGCAATTGAGGTTGTAACCAGTTATTCACATGTCAAAAATTCACTTTTTTATTGCTTTGTGTATCCTGTTCGATCACAAACAGCTAGCTCAATGTTTCAAGATAAATTCCAGATGTTTCTAGATGCGAAGATATGAATTTACGTTGTTTGTCATTTTGATAAAAGAAAAAAAAACTTATTGAGAGAACAAATCTACATCGGAAATTGATGTTTTCAGTGGCGTGTTTGATCGTATGTTCCACTTTAGAATCAATATCAGTAGGTCAAAAACAAAAATGAAACTTAAAGTTTTTTGTTATAAAGAACAAAATATCTTAAAATAAATGTATAATGTGGTATGAAAGATGAAGCTTTTTAAAATATTTTTAACAGTAAACCAACTCGATATTACTACAAGTGCTGCAGGTCAGACCACTACTTCTACACACATATATAGATTGTAATTATTCAGGAAATAAATAATTTATAAGTAGTTGCAACATTTATATAAACAAGCATTTAAAGTTACAGTTTTTAATGCCGAAATGTAGACAAAATAAGAGTAACGTGAAAAAAATATCTTCTTATTTTATTAAACTTCACACAAAGCTCATGAGCTAGCAGTTATTTCCAATTTTTACTGTTAGACTAGAATAAAAACAGCTAGTTAACATCCGCCACCGCCAACTCTTGTCAAACCGAACAGCGGGATTTATTCCATGACTCTTCTACAGCCCTAAAATTCGGAGTGTTTTTGGCGATAACGGGGCGCTAGCCAGATATCCCCACACCCACAGTCAGGCATTCCACGAGTTATTATCATGATTATCTTGCTATTTCTCCCTCTGTCTCTCTCTCTCTATATATATATATATTGTTACGTTTCCGTTTGTTAATTGATTTCCCGTAAATTCGTTCCGACGAAACTTTAACGACACAAGTCCTTTCTTAATTAAAAATGGTTTATTCTTTCTGAATATAACTCTACGATACACTTAATTTCAACAATCGCTATAACAACGAACGTTAACTTC